CCCCCCCCCCCATACTTGTACCTCTGTAGATGGGGCACATGTTAGACTAGGGTGCCCCCCCCCCATACTTGTACCTCTGTAGATGGTGCACATGTTAGACTAGGGTGCCCCCCCCCCCATACTTGTACCTCTGTAGATGGGGCACATGTTAGACTAGGGCCCCCCCCCCATACTTGTACCTCTGTAGATGGGGCACATGTTAGACTAGAGCCATGCGTGTCATTCCTCGTAGACCAATTGTAATGAGAACATTGATTGGTGAAGTGGACCGGTACCAGCAGAACTCCATCAAATAAATGAATAATTTCCCATTAAAAATTATTCACCTTCAATTCAGAGCTGCGCCATGCAGTACCACGTCTCCACCACAAGATGTCAGTCCTCAGTCTTTTAGGATGAGTGATGACCTCACAAGCCACTTCCTCTGAGCCCAGGCTGTCATGGAGTCCCCCCTGGCCCATCCCGGGCACTGTACACGGTAAGTCTAGGGGTAGAGGAATAAGCTGTAATACCTCATGCCCCGCTCTGGCAGGCTCCTTCAATCTGTGTGACCGATCCTCCGAAGACTCTACGGTGCTCCTGGCCGCGGTCACACACTCGCATTGCATTGTACATCATGACATCGGGGGGGACCGCCCACAACCCGGAGCGTCAGGGAGGAGAGCAGAGTGCCGGAGCGAAGGATAATGCAGCCTCTTCATTGGGTGAGAGACCATGGCATGGACCCCGGAGGAGGGGACAAAGAGAGACCACTGGACCCAAGTGAAGGGAAGGAATTTATAGATGTACATTCCATGGGGGGGTGATGGGCGGAGCCTATATGATGACAAGGACCTCTAATAAACGCTCACACGCAAGTCTGATTGGTCTAATTATAAACACAAAGCGCCCAGTGGGCATGCTGGCACTATGGGGCTGATTGATAAATGTTCCTGTGCTCCATAGTGCCGTGTGATCGGCAGCAGTGCTGTGTGATCGGCACCCCAGCACAGCACAGCACAGCACAGCACATTGGAGCAGATAACGGATCACTATATGCCACGGGTCGGTGTGAACGAGCTCTGGATTCCCCCAGCTGGAGACAATGATCGGCCATGATGATTATATCCCCAATGGATCAGTTTGGACTCATGTGATAGAACTTCCTGCTGAGCTGATGATGTCACTCCGGGATCAGACCAGAAATCTCTGACCACCATGCCGGGTACATGTATGGGAGGCCGCTGACCCGCCATCGCTCCCCCAGGTACGTTATAGCCATAGATTACATCAGCCAGGTAAGAGGCATTTCCAGCCCTGAGACTTCGCTGACCAATGAAAGGATTCGGCGTGGCCCCAGAACGGTGGGTTGGGAATCCAAGGACAGCCAGAGTTTCTAGAGACGACGTGCAGCCTGAGGATGGAGATGACAGGTTGGTCTCCATACAATCCACAGCAGAGGAAATGCAAAGTCTCCGGCTGTGTCGGTGACAGAAAATGTGGTGTGAGTGCCGGGGGCTTCCGGAGACCCCCGAGAGTGGATTGGAGTCCTCCTGATCTCCTCCTGTGTGTACCTGACTGACATCATATATCATGTATGTCGCACAGAGGGTCCACAATGTACACTGGGGGGTCCCCTACACACCGAACTCCTTTTTGTGTGTTGCAGCATTTAAACCTTGCGGTGAATCACAGGGAGGCCACAGCATTCCACCCCTGTGGTGAATCTTTGGACAGGACACAGAAGTAGGGTCCCTAACTCCTTCAGAGTCTCTATCTCTAGGGGCCCCTATGCCCCCCCCAGGTCAGATGCCGGGGGGCCCCCGATGGATCTGGCGGTGAGGACATAAATCTAATTGTATTCGGTGAATCGCCCGGAACTGATCTTGTTCTTATTTCAGGTCGTCATGTCACCTGATGCCCATCCCCCCGATGCCGGCACACAGGTCCTCATCAATGTGACGTCCGGAGCTATGGGTGAGTCCTATGTACTAAGACCTCAGGGGGAACCCGTCACTGTCCCTCAGATTGTTGGGGGTCAGCATATGGCCAGAAGGAGTACAAATGGTTCCTGTAGCCAGTAAAATGGTGTCCCGGGGAGCTATAACTGCCCCCTCACCTGTGCGCTATGGCTGCCCCCTCACCTGTGCGCCATGGCTGCCCCCTCACCTGTGCGCCATGGCTGCCCCCTCACCTGTGCGCCATGGCTGCCCCCTCACTGAGGTCACTGGGAGCAATGCATGGAATTATAAAACCTTCAAAACAGCAGAAACTTTATAAGGTCCGGACACAGAACATACAGTGACTGCAGTACTAAAATGTTACCACAAGATGTCGCCATGTGACATTCATAGAGGGGACAACAGCACGCTTTACACCGACACGGTCCACTGTTGTCACCCTCAGGAAACCCGCCCTAAGAAATGCCATCACTTGAGTCATCTAGACAGGAAGTGGCTGCAAAGAGACCTCAGGTGATCAGCAGCACAAATACAGGAACACAGGAGGTAAAAAAGAAAAACAAGGATTTAAAAAAAAAATGGAGATTGTTTGTTTCTGATACTCAGGGTGTGAGAGGTAACACATACGTGGGAGGGTCACATGACACATTACTCAGCATGATACAATATATCTGATGACAGGTCCTCTTTATAGATCCCCCCTCTATCTGATGACAGGTCCTCTTTATAGATCCCCCCTCCCTCTATCTGATGACAGG